AATTAAATTTTAAAAAAAAATAAATTTTTAAAATCCAAATTAAAATCATTAAAATCCAAAATTTAATTTTTTCAAAAAAATTAAGTTTTGGATTTTTTCGAATTTCAAAATGTGTTCTATCAGAAAAAGCACATTTGAAAACCCTAAAATAGTTTTTGTAGTCTGAAATTCGCCCATTCGCCCGTATTACCACACTTTCGAAATGTCTCACTTTCGAAATGTCTCACTTTCGAAATGTCTCACTTTCGAAATGTCCCGGAGCCAAAGTTTCGATATTAAAATTTCTGGTAGTTCTATTGTATTCGCCCACTTGTTTTTTGAATAAATTTCAATATATTGAAATTTTGTTTACAACCGTTTGAATACATGTGACTCTATTGAAACATTCATTTTCCCCCAAAAAATGAAACTCCAACTTTTCCTCTTTTTCATTTCTTTAGCTTTTTTTAGTGTCATTTTCTGTCAGGTAACCCAATATTTTTTCGACATTTTGAATTTCGCGCCTTTTTAGACCAATGACAGTAACTCTGTCGAGTCTCCAGAAGACGTCACGGATGACCTGAATTCAGTTGAAAATTCGGTGCAGCACACTTCCAATGAGCAAGATTCTGCGGATAGTGAGGAGGTGAGGAATTTCGGAATTGTGCAAAAATTTTTAGAAATTTTCAGATCGCTGGCGCCACAAGAAGTGTGCTTCAAAAACGCCAAATTTGGGTTTCATAAAAATTTTCTCGATTTTTTTAAAATTTTAAGCAAAATGGGATTGTATTTGACTGCTTTAATATGGAAATGAAGTATTAATTTTGAAAAATTTGACGATGTTTTTTTTCCAAAAATTTTGATTTTCAGAAATTCAGAAAAATTTTTTTTAAATGTTTTCAGAATTTTGAAACTTCAATATTTGGATATTCCTAAACTCCTGATTTCGACAATAAGTACGAAACAGTTTTCTTATAGAATTTATTTCATTAGAAATATCAGAATTTAAAATTGGCTCCAAAATTACAGAATTCATAATTTTGGAGTCAATTTTGAAAATAAACAAAAATTATTCGAAATAAGCGATTCCTCGGCTAATGTTGCTTCCATTTTCCAGAGCTTCCCTGAAAATGAAAATATTAATTTTTTTCTGAATTTTCAGAAATTGTTTCTTACCTCGGATCTCGTCTGCTGTTCGTTTTCAGAAGCGTCCGGATTTTCAATCAGGTGTTGGATTCCATTTTTTGGCTGAAATTTTGGAGTTTCAGAATTTCAGAATTTCAGAATCTCAGAATCTCAGAATCTCAGAATCTCAGAATCTCAGAATCTCAGAATCTCAGAATCTCAGAATCTCAGAATCTCAGAATCTCAGAATCTCAGAATCTCAGAATCTCTCAGAATCTCAGAGTCTCAGAGTCTCAGAATTTCAGAATCTCAGAGTCTCAGAATTTCAGAGTCTCAGAATTCCAGAATCTCAGAATCTCAGAATCTCAGAATCTCAGAATCTCAGAATCTCAGAATCTCAGAGTCTCAGAGTCTCAGAATTTCAGAATCTCAGAGTCTCAGAATTTCAGAGTCTCAGAATTCCAGAATCTTGGAATCCAAAAAATTCAAGAAATTGAAAAATCCCAAAAAAATCCAAGAATCCAAAAGTTCCGAAAATTGAATTTCTAAATATTTTTGGTTTTATTGAATTTCAGAATTTCAGAATCCTTACCTTGGCTTCAAGTCCCAAGATCATCAAAACAAGGCAAATCAAGAAAAATAGATGTAGTTGCATGTCGTTTTTCCTTATTGAGTACTATTTCGGTACGTCCTTTTTATACCAAGCGATAAGAGAAAACCCATCCCCATTTTTCCTCAATCTCTTTTCATTTTCTATCCTATTTAATTCGTTCTCTTCTTTACTATTTCCTTTTTCTGAAGTTTGTTCGAAACCGAAATTCATTTTCAAACTGGTTTTTTTTCTTCGAAATCGGGAACAATTAGCGAAGATTAGAAGTAGTAATTCGGAGGCACGAAAACACGAGACTGGTCAGGAATTTTGGGAAATTGAAAGTTACGAAAAATTAGTTCCTGATATTTGAGAAGAAAGTTAAAAGATAGGGTACAATTCAATAAACCCATTGGGTTAAGCAAAGAGGTTTCAGTCCAAGATGTTACCGTAAAACCTGTAATATAGAAGGGCCCCCTAATTTTTATATTCGAGTTAATTTATCTCGGTTCCTGATAAAGATATAAAAATCTGTTAACGGATAAATTGTTTATCATAATATCTTTTACATTTTATCAGTTGACATATTTTTTGTATCTCTTATAGGAGCTGAGACAATTGAGCTCAAACTTGACAGTGTGGGGGCCCTTCTATTACAGGTTTTACGGTATATTGCGATTATATTTTTAAATTTTCAGATTTTCGGAAAGTTGTTGACCTCGATGTCTTATATAAATGTGATAATTATGTCTTTTGATATATTTTCTCGGGGAGCAATTTTGTTCAATTGACAATTAAAAACAATTATAAGAATGCATTCATTGGCACAGAAAATATTGGATGAAAATGATTTTATGGAAAATCTCAACTGCTCGGTGCTCCCGAACTGGAAATTCTTCGATAAATTAACGAATTTTTTCAATTAGTTGACGGTAACAGAAAATAAACACCCACTCGTTATAGAATTGAAAACCGTTAGGTTCCTCTGCTTTATCTGAAAATCAAAATTTCAGAGACGATTAACTACCTTTGGCACTTTTGCGAATAACTTACGAATAACTATTTCACCGGATAATAAGTTCTGGACTACTGAGTCCACTTTATTTAACACGTCGTCAATCGGCTGAAAATTGTTATTTCTAGACGTAATTGTTTTTTTTTCTCACCTCTGTCAAACCGTCAATAGTAGCGCCAAACAGCAGAATGGTACCATCCATCTAAAACTTGATCATTTTAAGCATAATTGTTTTTCTTTATCACTATTTCTTACCTCGTTTGAACCGTCGGTGGCATTCAAAGTCAGCAAGCCTTGAATATCGTCGATTAGCTGAAAACAGCTATTTCTTGACATGGTTCTATTTGAGCCCTACTCCAACCTTGCTATTTTGAATCACTTGTGATGAATCCTTAATAGTACCACTCAGCTGAAAATTGATATTTCTAGAGACTTTTCTCCCATTTTTGATCTACCTGAGCAGCACCAAATCCAACGATAGCAAGGAAGAAAAGAATAGAAAACTTCATTTTCAATCGAAATGTATGATCTAACTGTTGGCATAAGGTTCCCTTTTATTGTGTCACTGTTTTTGAAAACATCCTTTTTATACTGTAGATTGCTTTAAAGGAGGCCAGACATGAAAGTCTACGGAGTTTTCTTGGAGCAAGATCATGTATTGTGACGGAAAATCGTGCGATTGCGACCCAATGCGCGCTACTTGACGAGCATTTATTTTTTTTTTAGTGTACACTAGATTTCTTCAATGTATGGCGATAATTCAAGACTTTTTGTCGACATTCTTCCATGATGTCGCCGCATGAAAACAGAAAAAAAAACGAAAACGGACAGATGGGAATCGAACCCGCGATGCGCGACCAATAGACAAGCGCGCTCACCTCTAGACCACGCGGCGCCTGCCTTCTACTGCCGCTAAAACGTTTATGAAACGAGGAGTGTGTCGCCGCTTGGAAGAACGTTCGTGTTCTCGCTTGTACGGCAAAATGGAGTTATGGTTGGATGGCATATTTTCTGACTGTACTGTGTCATATATCAAAAAACTAGAACTTTGAAATTGTTCATGACTGGCCTCCTTTAAAGAAACACGGAAGGATTAATTGAATTTTGGATATCAACATGTTTTCGGAATTTTAGGTTCTATTGAATTCCGTTCCATTCAGGAAGAGGAAACGGAAGTTTTTTGACACCTGGATTCTAAAGTTAACTAGAATCGAAAATTCCGAAAACAAGTTGATATCCAAAATTCAATCAATCCTTCCGCGTTCCTTTTCAAAATGAAAGAAGCAATCTACAGTAATCAAGTGATGTTTTCAAAAACAGTGTCAGTATAAAAGAAAACACATCTCTATTCAGGACAAACCACATTTTCAGCCATGAACAACTTCTCGACATTCCTATTCTTCTTACTTCTTTTGGCTTTTTTGAGCCTTGGATCTGCTCAGAACCTCCCATATGTGCTTCCAGATGGAGACCTCTACGGTTATGTCAATACCAATTTGCAGAATCTTGATGATTTTTTGAAGAGCCTCGGAGTAATTTGAAAAAGTTTTGATTCTTCTGCTTCTTGTTTTTTTTTTCAATTCTAAAATTGAAAAGGTTTTTAAAGGAGGCCAGACATGAAAATTTTCAAAATTCTAGTTTTCTGATATATGACACAGTACAGTCAGAAAATAACAATGGACACCAAACCAAAACTCCCTGTTACTGTACAAGTGAGAACGCGACCGTTCTTCCAAGCGGCGCCGACTCCTCGTTTCATAATCGTTTTAGTGGCACTAGACGACAGACGCCGTGTGGTGTAGAGGTGAACGCGATTGTCTATCAGTCGCGCGTTGCGGATTCGATTCCCATCTGTGCGTTTTCGTTTTTTGTTATGTTTTCATGCGGCGACATCCTAGAATGGCCGAATAGCTAGATAAAGTCGGGAGTAATTGCCAAACAGTGAAGAAATCTAGTGTATATTGAAAAAAAATAAATGCTCGTCAAGTAGCGCGCATTGGTCGCAATCGCACGATTTTCCGTCAGAATACATACTCTCGCTCCAAGAAAACTCAGTAGACTTTCGTGTCTGGCCTCCTTTAATGCAGATGTCTTGTATTCTTGATGAGCTATCATTCTTTTTACTTTACGATGTTTTTTTTGGCCTCTGAAGATAAATTTTACTTTAAAAATTCTTTTGGGACACATTAAAAATTTATAAAAATTCAGTAAATACTTCAAACTTCTTATAAAACAGATTCATCTAAATGCACAGAAATATTCTCAATTCCCACTTGATACATTTGAAATCGGGCTCCAAAATTATCAGTTTTTCCTTTCAGAAACCACTTTCGAACAATTCCAGAATAACTGATAAATGCAGAGAGAATCCATAAAAATGGAAGATAATATAGATTTGATAAAATGATAAAATAATGGTTACCAGAACGAATTGATCCGTCGATGATTTTGAAGATTGTAATAGACTGAGCAATCTGAAAGTTTTAGTTTTCAATTTTTTACAAAAAATGGACAAACTCACAATAATACAACCGATTGATAACGTTGAATGAAGTAGAATTGAAATTGTCTTCTGAATTCTTATTTTTTGATTTATTTTCCATTTTATAATTGTGATAATGATTAAAATAAGGTTGGAAAATACTAGAATAGGCTCCAAAATGTTGAATTCAATTGTAAAATCTGAGATTTCTATTGAAACAGTATCTGGAAAAGATTAGAATTCAAAAATTTCAGAATTTCAGAAAACCACTTACAAAGCGGGCTGAAAAATTTCAAGACAAGGCAAACCAAAAAATAAGCAAAATCAATTTTTTTCAAATTCACTCGATCATAAAGATCAAAAGTGAGCAATATTAATTTTTTGAAATTTAAGGATAAAATAATAAAATCAGCTGCAAATATAAATAATCTAGCTGAAATTAGAGATACATGATGAATTATTAGAATTGGAATTTTAATAAATCCATTGAAAAATGAAATGATAATTGAGTAGATTATGAAGTACATGAAAATATGGAATCCCAGAAAATATTTGAACTTTTCGATCTGAAAATTTTCAAACATTTTTTTTTTCAAAACTTTGAAACTTCAAAATTCCAAAACTCGCCTTTTTCTCATAAACCGTTTTAATATAAAACAAAAGTAATAACGCTGAAGATACTCCATGATAAGAGGAACTGATAAAACTATCACCGAAATTTTCGAAAGCTTCACTTTTCGTTTGGTTCTTATCAATTAGAGAAATTAAATGAATTTTCATCGTTTGAAAATGAATGTTTAAAAAAATGGGCGAAAATTAGAAAGATTCTGGATTGAAAACTAAAATTTAAAGTATAATTCACCTGTTCTCAAAAAAAAAAAATTAATTAATTTTCAAAATAATTAGAAACTGCAATGTCTCCAGCTGAAACTAGATTTTTAAACATTGATCAGATAGTTAAAAAAATTTCAACATGAAGAAAGTTTTCATTAACGTTTTCAGACCCTTGTTATGTTTTTTATGACAAATGTCGACTCTGTGTCGACTCGTGTCGACACGATTTTTCAGTTATTTTTTCTTTTAATCGACACGAGTCTCTGTCGACACGTTACTCTAGTCCGGAGTTCGGAATCCGTATTCCGGATCCCGAGAATTTTTTCGTTCCGGATTCCGGACTCCGGATTCCGTGAATTTTTTCTTTTTTTTTCTTATTCCGGAAAATATTGTCATTCCGGATTCCGGATTCCGATACGTTTTGAGAAAATTAGGTCACCATATAGTTAGGCCGGTGTCGTGTCGACTCGGCTCGACATTTGTCGACTTTTGTCGACACGATATCGCTCTTGGTGAAGGTCGACACGATTTTTGTCGACTCCTTCAAAACGACATGTTGACTCAAAATCGAGCGACAATCGTGTCGACACGTTACTCTATTCATGACTGAAAATGGGGTTTTCCTGAATCGACAGAGTTATTTTATAGAGCAATATTTGGGTGGAAAACATGTTGTCATGGAATTTCGGAATATTGAAAAAATAACTATTGTGTGTTTAAGTTTGTGAATAAGATTTCGTCATGTTTCTGGATTCAAATAACAATTCTCGACAAAATTTTTAAAAATGCAAGTTTTTGACAATAGCCTAAAGATTGAATCGAGCTACAAAAATATGTATTTTAAATAGAAATTTATTAATTCAGTTCAAAAACTAAACAATTGCACTGGGTGTCAGAAATGTGTGATATCAAATAATAATAATCAAACTAAAACAAAAAAAAAGTATTTCAAAACCTCGGCCATATTCAAATTACGACAAAATACTAGGAGAAGCAAACACGGAAATCATAGTTGGTGGTGATAAAACACTAGGTGATAATGCATAAGGAGACATGATAACAGCTGTAACAAAACTTGGTGATAAGACAGACGGTGATAATACAAATGGGCTTAAAATTAATGGGGAAAGAGCTGTTGGGGTAAGAATAAAGGGAGATAGGGCAAATGGGGACAGGATAATAGGAGTCATGACTTGAGGGGATAATACGAATGGGGTCAAAATGAATGGAGAAAGAACGACGGGGTTGGCGACACCGGGGACCAGGACCAAGGGGTCTAGAGCCAGAGGAGAGAGGACGATGGGGGAGAAGATGGCTGGAGACACAATGATGGGAGAGAGGATACGAGGGCCAAGGATCACAGGGACGAACACCTGGAAATTTGAGATTTGGAGATTCAATTTGAAGAGAATTTCTGAATTTCTGAGGTTCTGAAATTCTGATTTTCGGGTTTTCAAACATCTGAACTTAAAAATTTAGAGTTCGGAGTTTTGAAATAGGGAACTTTGTAATTTGGAATAAGCTCGGAATTCTGATATTGAATGAACTTTGGAAATCTTCAAATCTCGGAGTTTGAAAAAATAGTTTTGATTTAAAAACTATGGATTTTTGAAGTTTGAAAATTATTTGAGATTCAGAATTCCAGAATCTCAGGATCCAAAAAATCCTGTAAATCGAAAAATCATTAAGTCCAAAAATATTCAAAAAACCAAAAATTTCTAAGATTAAAAAACTAAAATTCTCGAAAGATTCTCTTTTTGAGGTTTTTGGAATTTTTTTGGTTTTTGGATGTCTGGAAATTTTGAATTTTTGGATTTTTGGGATTTCCGATTTTTTTCCATCATCAGAATATCAGAATTTCAGAATTTAAAATTATCAGACTTTCAGAATCCTAGAATCCTAGAATTTCAGAACCTCAGAATCTTAGTTTAATAGAATTCAAAAATCCAAAAAATTCAAGTATCCTAAAATCCAGGAAATTCCTTAAAATCCCAAATTCAATAACTCTCTAATTTCAAAAATCCCAACAATCCAAAAAGCGAAAAATCCCAAATATTTGAAAAGTTGGGATTTTTCAAATTTTCAGAATTTTTAAACGAGTTCCATAAATTCAAACGAGTTCCATAAATTCAAAAACCCAAAAATTTGAAAATCGAAAATTCGAACAACTTTTTGGAATTTTTTAGATTTTTTGAAGTTTTGTGATTTTAGTAGTTTAGAAGATTCTCTGAATCTCTGAATTTTCATAATGGTCCACACTTACCCAGGGCGACAAAATAACTGATCCATAGATTGCCGGGGACAGTACCAGTGGTGTAAAAAGTACCGATGACGCGATAAGTGCCTGTGAAGCCGTTGCTGGAGACGCAATGATAGCTGAGAACAGGATGGGTGACCCAACGATATCCTTCATTCGCTTCTCGTATTTCCCAATTTTGATATTTCCTTTTCCAATTTCTTTTATCACCTGGAACAATCTCTCTGCATCGATTCGATTTATCTTCGATTTATCTGGATTACTGTCGGAGATATCAAAAAATGGTCAACTGATAAAATGTTGCTGATAATGTGATAAACATTTTATTGGTTTGGCACTTTTTGACATCTCTCACAAGAAGCCTGATAATTGAACTCAAAGTACGGTGGCTTACATTCCAAAGGAGGGGGAGAGGGGCTACATGTTCTTTAAAGATGGGGGGACACGAGATTTTACGGGGGATTTTTGGGGCCAGAGTAGGCATTCTACCGTGACGGTGTACAACGCTTAATGTCACTCTGCGTACATCTGTCGTCCTCGCCTTTATGTATGCAATCGAGGTGCCGCTCTCTCTTTGCCCGCGTAGCTCAGTCGGTAGCGGCGCCGCACCCCCAATCCTCGTCCTCACAAGTTCAACTCCTCGAGGGGCATATTTAGACGGAATATCGAGAACATTATTTTTTTCATGTCCCCCCACCTTTAAGCTCAATCATCTCGCTCCCCATAAGAGATATCAAAAAATTGTCAACTGATAAATTGTTACTGATAATGAGATAAACATTTTATCAGGTGGTTACTTCCCGATATCTGTTAAAAGAGTCAAGATAAAGCGGCTTACCGTATGCAATACTTTTTTGGCTTTTCCCATGGTCAGGTGCCTCCCGGCTTACAAAGTCTTCAAATTCTCAAATGGCGCATTTTTCCCGTAGACCATTTCTCGCTGCTTATCAGTCATTATAGCATATCCTGATTTGTTGAAATGGTACATCTGGAATTATGGGTTTACAGACAGACAAATTCATGACCTTCTACCTGTTCCTCTGTGTACATCCCGTGTAGTTTTTCTAGAACTTTCATTTTTCGGAAGTTATCCTCTCCATAAATTTTTGTCAAGTTCTCTCTGCTGATATTAATTTCCTCTCCCTTGACATTCATCAGCGTCCCTTCAGATTCCCTTGACGCCTTCTGAGCGGCTTCATCTACAGTATCCGCTACACCGGTGAGCTCTGTGAGCATGTCCATGAAGGAGTCCTTGTCCAGACCCTTTTGATCTCCTAGAATCTTCACTAGGGACGTCTTCTGCTCATCTGGAGATCCCTCATCGTGAAGGGAGAAGAGAGATGGGGAAAGGATGTTGACCTGGAAATTTTATTGGCCTAGAAAATGTTAGCTGGCCTAGAAAAAAATTACCGTGTCATTTTCCTTTTTGTGCTCTTCTGGAGCTATTGCGAAGAATCGTGGAGACGCGAATTTCAGACTTTTTTAATCGAATCCTGAGACATTTTGGCCGCCAAGACTCAGACCTAGTTTGACGGCTGGAATTTGAATTTCTACGAAAACAATTAATTTTGAGAAATTTTTTTCAAATTTCCTGGGTTTTTTAAAAAAAATTATTTCTCAATTTTTGGAAGAAGTTCGGAATTTCTGAATTCTCCAAAAGTTTGAATTCGAAATTTTTTTTAAATTTTGCTTTAGAAAATCCAAAAAAATTAGGTCATGTCCTAGAAAATCTAAAAACTACATGACCTAGAAAACCCAAAAAATTAGGAATGACCTAGAAAATTTAAAAAATTAGGTGATAACCTAGAAAATCCATAAATTAGGTGGTGGCCTAGAAATTTCACAAAATTAGGTCATGACCTAGAAATCTCAAAAAATTAGGCCATGGCCTAGAAAATCGAAAAATTAGGTCATAACCTAGAAAATCCATAAATTAGGTGGTGGCCTAGAAATCTCAAAAAATTAGGCCATGGTCTAGAAAATCCAAAAATTAGGTCATAACCTAGAAAATCCGGCTCTAGTATGAAATTCTGGTCCTTAAAAAAAATTCTGGTCCTTAAAAAAAATTCTGGTCCTTAAAAAATTCTGGTCCTTAAAAAAAAATTCTGGTCCTTAAAAAAAATTCTGGTCCTTAAAAAAAATTCTGGTCCTTAAAAAAAATTCTGGTCCTTAAAAAAAATTCTGGTCCTTAAAAAATTCTGGTCCTTAAAAAAAATTCTGGACCTTAAAAAAAAATTCTGGTCCTTAAAGAAAGATGTGGGTATTTGAATAGCTTTCATGTTTTTGTTTGAAAATTTGGTTAGATTGAAACGTTTATTTATTCCAATCATGTTTTCAATAGTTTTGATGTTTTAAAAATAATTTTTTTTGTAATTTTGATTTTTATTCAGAAGAAGGTATAAGACTAAAAGGTGTGGCATATAAGAATTAGAGAGGATAAATAGTTCAGAACACAAAAAAAAAGAATATCGGTTGCAACAAGATGATCTTATCCGCGTCCTTTGAACTTCCTTCGGCCGGTGAAAGTGGATTTTAGAGTAGTGGTTGTGAATCTTGGAGTAATGGTAGTCTATCTTGGAGTGGTGGTAGTGGGCCGCCCGCGTCTTCTTCTATCATTCCGAGTCTTCTGAGTGGTGATGGTTGTTTGTCTCGTTTCAAAAACAGACGTCGTCCGTTTCGTACGAGGTTCTGTCGTGGTTCGTCTCGACTGATGGGAAGTTGTTCGTCTTGTTCTCATGGTGGTCGTGGTCCTCATGGTTGCTGTGGTTGTGATGGTGGTTGTAGGATCAGCTTTTCGACTTTGTGTCTTCTTCCGAGGTTTTCGAGTTTTGGTCGTCGTTTGCCTTGGTGTAGTTGACGAAATTGGTCTGTTGGTTTTGATAATCATTTCTGGCTTAGAAGAGGTGGTGGTTCTCATTGTAGAAGCGGTAGAAGAACTTCGACGTTCGTTTCTATTTCGATTCAAACGAGCAGCCATTGTGGTTTGTCTTGTTGAAAATGTAAAGGCGCGATTGTTTCTTTCATTTCGTTGTTTGGGAGCAAATGAAACTCTATCAGAATCGAACTGTTTTCTTTTTCTGAAGATTTTCGTGGTCGGTGCTTCAGTCAATTGATCTTCCTCTTCCTGTTCATCTTCGTACTCATCTTCCTGATTCTTTTCCTGCTCCTCATCCTGCTCCTTATCCTGCTCCTCATCCTGCTCCTCATCCTGCTCCTCATCCTGCTCCTCTTTTTGTCTCTCATCCTCGCCTTCTCCCTCCTGCTCTCCGTTTTGCTCTTCTTCCTGCTCTCTCTCCTGCTCTTCCTCAAACTCTGGTTCATCTTCGTTTTGGATATCGTCATCATCATATTCATCATAATGATCATAACCATCATAATCGTCATAACCATCATAATCATCATAGACATTATTATCATCAACTGTACTATCTGCTCCGTCTTCATCATCGTCGTCTCCATGATTCGGGTCGCTGGAATCGGACTCGTCTTCACCGCCGTCGTAATCAGAGCTTTCATCCGTGGAGATTTCAGATTCACTTGAATCATAGTCATCTTCTTTCTTATAATACTTCATCTCGATCAGAAGGTGGTTCAGAAGTTTTTTTTTAAAGAAGTAGCGTCTAAACATGT